AGGAAGACTGGCCCTGGGCTAACATGCATGCACATCTTCCTCTACTTTATATGGGACGCCGCCACAGCATGGCTTAACAAGCGGTGCGTCGGTGCGCGCCCAGGATCCGAACCTGCGAATCCCGGGCCGCCGCAGCGGAGTGCGCACACTTAACTGCTGCGCCACCGGGCGGCCCCTTTATCTTTTTGTATCTCAGCTTTTAAGCTTTATCTTTTTTATCTTTGTTTTCCTCAAGTATTAAGTGTTTTGGCAGTCTTTATAATATAGATGATATTTGATGTATCATTGACTCCTTTTAACAATCGAGCATTTTAATATAAGCTGTCACTGTATTTAAAATTGAGAGAGAGTATTGGATCTTCACTGGTATATAATTTAAAAGTACATGGGTGTGATCAACGTTTATTTCTAACTGTGATTGAAGTGCTCTGGACTTGGGTTCTCATTATCAGCCTAATAATAATAGTACAGAATAATAACACAGCTTTTTATTACATAGTTTTATCATTTAATGTCATAGTCTCTGAGATAACATTTCCTCCCAACTTTTTTTTTTTGATAGGATAGGAAACAGAGTCTCAGAGGAGTGACCTGCTTTAGATTGTACATGCCAGTGGCTACAGAGGCAAATCTTGAACCTAGGTTATATGATTCCAAGTGGAAAAATCTTTCCCTATAGTATGCTGCATCTGTTTTTTATTCACTACTTATAGTTTGGCTTTTTCAGAAGAAGTAGAAATAGTTGCTGTGCTCAGTTTTTTCTAGTGAATTGAACATAGACAATTGAAAATAATAAAAACTTACAAATCTGCTTATTGTATTAGTAAGTACTCAATGATATATACTAGTGCAGCAAAGTAAAACACAGAAATGCAAATCCTGTAAGTTGTCTGGAAATTTAATGTGATGTTTTCAATGAATGTTTTAATCGTTTATTTTATTTTGAGTTCAGTATTAAAATTTAAATAAAAATATAAAAACATGAATGTAGATACAATGTTTTTTTCTTTCCTAGACAGATAGCGATTATGTACACGGTGTTGTAGCCAACCTGGAGAGAGAGTAAGTTCTTCTTAATTATGGAAATGAAAATACTTTAGTTACTATTATCTCTTGGCTTTTGGTAAAAGAAAATGCCTTCTTTTATAGTTCGTTTCTCTGTGGAGTTCAGTGTTCATTGGACCACCTATCATTGGTCTTTTACATTGTCATAAAGAAGGTGCATGTATATCCAGTCATCTGATGGGATAAATTGGTGTGTTTCATTAAGAAAAGACTTGAATATTGTATATATGTAACACTATCACATAACAGTCTTTAATCTTGAAGACAGTGAACATAGAGAGTCCTGTGAGATTACTTACATCGTTCACCCTCTGTTTACCAAGAAAAAAAATTTCTGCTGTCAGGGCAGATAGTCATGTAGCAGTTTCAAACCTCAATGTTAAACTATGTCTAAATCTTTTCTTCTATTCTGCAAAGATTGAGTAACCACTTACTGTGAGCAAGGCACATTGTAGGTAACAGATGGAAAGCTTAATGTTTCAGGTATCATTAGTTTTTATAATATTGCCTTCATAGTTTTAATAGTGATATCATAAAAATTAGTCTTGATATGGGTTTCTTCATTGAATTGTATCTATTTTTGCCCCCAAAAGATATATCTTCTGCTTAAAAAGAAAAGCAAAAGAGAAATCATTATTTGGCAAGTCTAGATTTAAAATAATGTGGCTCTATCTTTGTTTATCAAAAAGCTAAAACAAGAGATTTTAAAAATATATGCATAGTTCAGGATTAAATTGTGCATTTGTTAGATTTTTCCTCAAGTGCTCAATTTCTTGGCAGCCTTTCTATAAGCACAGTTTAGTATAGACTCCTTAAATATAGGAACAGGGCAATCATTATTGGTCCCCCTTCCCATAGAACACGTGGGCACATCTGTGGGGCTTATGCAGTAATTCTGTTGATTCTCTTCTTCCTCAGTGTGTAGGAAAACCAAGCCCAGAAAAAAGTGCAGTTCAGCACTAAGAACATTTGTGCGAAGGCAGGTTGTTGCATGAGCATTTTGTAGAGGTTTGCAAAAATGAAATAAGGGAGAATGCAAATGTGAAAGAAATTACATTTGAGTCAGTAAAGACTGATTAAAAACACTTTAGAACAGAGCCAGCCCTGATGGCCTAGTAGTTAAAATTTAGCGCTCTCACCACATCGGCGGCCTGGGTTACTTTACGGGTCGCAGAACCACACCACCTGTCTGTCAGTTGCCATGCTGTGGCAGTGGCTCACCTAGAAGTACTAGAAGGACTTACAGCTAGGATATACAACAATGCACTGGGGCTTTGGGGTGGAAAAAAAAGGAGGGGCAAAGATTGGCAACAGATGTTAGCTCAGGGCAAATCTTTCCCTGAAAAAAAACGAAAAAGAAAAACAAAACTTTAGAATGAAGTTTCTCAACCTTGGCACTATTGACATTTTGGGCTAGATAATTCTTTATTGTGAGGACTGTCATAAGCATTGTAGGATGTTTAAACAGCATCCCTGGTGTGTACCCACTAGATGTCCGTAGTACTCCCCCAGTTATGACAATCGAATGTCTCCAGACATTGCTCAGTGTGCCCTCAGGGGACAAGATCACCCCCTGAGGAACACTAGTTTAGAATGACATACAGTCTATAAGGCACAAATAAACCTTCCTGAGAATTGAAGAACTTTGATTTGTGTATAAATATATGTATATAGATACACACACATCCATTAGTTTGTTTTTCTTCAATTCCCTATTTTCTGTGACACCTTGATTTGATTTTTTTAAAATTTTAATACTTTTTAGGAATGTAATACCTACAGTTGGCCTAGGATTTCTATGCTACTCTAAGGATAGTGGCATTTTACATTGTTTTTTATGCATTATTTTTTTTAAAAAACTTCCTGCTATTGGAAAAGCCTGTGTTTTCTGACAAGTAAAATCAATGATAAGCTACTTCACTGAACACACTGTGACCATAACAGTATATCTTACTGATGTGTATTGTGTTAAACACAGTAAGTTGAGCATATCTTTAAGATAAATAAAATCCCAAAGAACTTAAATAACTCAGCTAACCTTTCTCACGATAGATTTTCTAAAGAAATCAGTTCTGGCTTGGTGGAAATAATATCACCTCCTGAAAGCTATTATCCTGACCTGACAAATTTAAAGGAGACATTTGGAGACTCTAAAGAAAGAGTAAGGTGAGCTTGTGTTGTTTAAAATCCCCCACCCTTGTGAGAATAACATATAATGAATGTAGTTCTTGTTCATTGAAGGTTAACATGTTTTAGGATTGAACTAATTAGTGAGAGCTAATAATTTTTGGTTATTTTATTGGAAATTTTATGGCGTCTCAGGTGACAGGTTGAATTTGGTTAACTTATTAATTTATATAACTGTGCTGCTCTCTGTTAGAACTTTTCTCAGGTATATTCAATGTAACATAATATAATTCAATATAACACAAAAGTTAGTCCAGGTAGAAATCTTGTGTCTGCATGCAACATAAATGAGAACTGATTCAATAAAAGTGATAAAAACAGTAATACTGTTCTGCATAATTATATTGCAATAGTGTAACTAGTCGATTGGATTTATTTGTCTCTGAATCTCTAAAATTGAAGGACGTAACTTTCATTGTGTTGTTATTAAAAACAAAGTAATCTAAGAGATATTGGCATTAATTTTGGGTTAACCAGAAAAAAAAAGAAAAAAAAGTATTTGGGGAGGAGATTTATTATATTTCTTGAGTTGTTAATTTGTCCCAAAGATAGATATGTTCACATAATTGTTTAATTGCCTCTCAATAAATATAATTTTATTTTTAAAAAGTTTTAGGTTGAATTTGGTAAAAAATTGTGGATAGTCTCATTAAATTCAGAACAGCTTATGAGGTATATTCTGGAGAAATTTACTTAGTATGATTCAAAACTTTAATTTTATCGCGTTGTAACCACTTCTCTCGTTCGGCATTAGTCAGTGTGTTTCTGTAGGCTACCAAGAATTCACTGAAAGGACTTAATATTGTAAATTTTAGTATGATATTTTGGGTTTTTAGGCATTCACTACATATTTATCAGTTTCTACCTGTATGCAAAACATAGCCCTAAGCACCAGAGTAGTGATCCACAGCGTATAACTTTTGAAGCACTAGTTCCCAGAACCATTAAGATATTACTGAAAAAAGGGCCTGTGGTCAAGGAAGTTTGGCAAATAGTGGATTAAAAATTTTTTTCAACAAATGTATTTACTGCTGGATGTTTCAATGCCTCTGATATACTAATATGTAACCAGAAGGGGAATATGTGTGCTTCCCAAACTTATTTGACATTAGACTCCTTTTTTCCTCAGGATGTCTTGAAGATTAGTGTTTTGGGGAATATTGATAAAGGCTTTATTAGAGAAAAGTGAATTCTCTTTCATTCTCTCTTAGGTGGATATATCATGTATGTGTGTATATCTATATCTATATCTATATGTCATATCCCTATATCTATATATCATATATACATCATGTCTATATAAAATATAGTATATATATAATATATTTATAAGATATTATACGTCTAATCTTATTCTGTTAAATTTGAGTCTGATTCCTAACTTATTTTTGAAAATTTTTATTTCAGGTGGAGAACAAAGCAAAACCTAGATTATTGTTTTCTAATGATGTATGCTCAGGAAAAGGGCATATATTACCTTCAGGTAAGTGTGGTTTTTCCTTTAATGTTTTTCACACTTTTAAAGAAAAGTAATATCAATGGTGTATTTTCATGAAAACAGGAAGTTTTAAAAGCATAAACCCTCTAAGATCTATGAGATCATAACCGTGTATCAGAGCAGAAGGGTCTGTCTTAGTCATTGGAAACGTGGGCTCTGCGGTTCTATCCTCTGGGTTAGTACAAACTGTAGCTCTCCACTTAGTGTTGTGACAGTGGACAGACAGGGCACCATCTCCTCCTTCCTGTTCTCCCATCCCTCCGTCTTCTCTCTCATCCTCCTCTCTCCACTGTTAAAAAGAACTAAGATTTAATTATTTGGCATATTTTACAGAAGGATTTCCATATAAGTTTTTAGAGGTCTTATGGTAGGCTAGTTTTTTGTATGCTACAATACATTTACATTTATATTGAAGATAATAAAACTGACATTTAATTCTAATGGTCCCACTTTTAGCAACATAGCTAAAAGAATGTCTATAATGATATGGATTTTAAGGTAGTCAGGTAGGCAACAACTTAAAAATTCTAAGAAGCTCTTATTTCTTCGAAATCTCAATCTCGTTAATGACTTAAGCTTGAATTTCACAATTGGAATTTCATTTCTTTAACCAAAGGTCTTTATCCCTTGTTCAAAATGCAAATACTCCTGAGAGGTATAGCACACTAAGCCTGTCAGTTACTTTTTTCAGTATAAAAAGTTTGTTAGATCCTTTCCTGGGAGGATGTTTTGATGAGAGTGGCAAGAAGAGGCTGTGAGTCCCCATATCAGAAAGAAAATGGTTGAGCAGCCGCTGGCAGGGGTTGGGGAGGGGAAGAAAGAAGGAAAAAAGCCTGGCATCACGTGGGAAGGCGGACCTATTGAGGACAGACTTGGTCTCCTTTAACATTTTACCTCCAACCAGCTGCATTCAAATGTGCGTGAACCCTTCCTTGGTTCACAGGATGGGGAATGTGAATGATGTAGGGTCAGAATATAACACTGTGTATAACAGTCAACAACAGTTGTGCGTATAAAAACACAATATCCTAGATTTAGATAGTACATTTCCTTTAAATACCTTAGAGAAGTCTTATGTTAATTTCATAATAGTAATAATTTCAAAACATTTTATGTTAACATATCTCAAATATTATAGTTGAACCTTGCTGTTTGTTCTAGGGCCAGTATATAAATATTTACATTATGATCGAGAACTTTATAGAGAGAATTTAAAAGTGTAGTTAGATCGCTTTTAAAATTTGTTTTAAATTTCTCTCCAAGGAGGGAATTAATGGAAGCTTGAAGCTTTTTTGTGGAGTATAGAAAAAGTAAATATTTAGGAAATTAAGGAAAGGATGAGGTTAAGAAAGAGGATGGTAAGGAGAACTTCCCCCAAGCAGGGTCAGTACATGAGATACTGTAACAGCAGCAGCTATGAACTAACAGTTATTGCATGCTTATCGTGTGTCAGGCATTGTTCTTTACAATTTATGCTTTATACATCTTAACTCATTTAAGGCAACCCTTTTTTATAAGAACAGAATCGTATTGTACATACTCTCTTATAGCCTGTTTTGCTGTCACTTAACATAGTGTTGACACCTTTATATGACAGTAATTATAAATTGGTATAATTTTTAATTGCTTCTTGAAGTGATTCAGATTATTCAGATATCATAATGACTTTGTTGTTGGTCATTTAAATTGTTTCCAACTTTTTACCTGTTTCAAAGATGAATCCAATGGACATTCTTAAAATTACTCTATTTGCCAAAAACTTATGCCTCAGAAAAGAGAGAATTGCTTTACATTGAAGACTTTACGTAATCTCATATTATACAGAATTCTATCAGTGAGTTCATTATGATCTACAAAGTATTGGTGGGAAAAACACATTTGCCTGAAAAGTCCTCAGTTTAATGCTAGTTTTGAGTGTTTGTGAAGGATAGAAATCACTTGGGAAATTTGGGGAAAATCAGGGTGAGGGGTGAAGAAGCAAAGGAATTTAGCCCAGACTTCATGATTATCCTAGGAATGTGACTTCATGGTTGCATTTGTTGGGGGTGTGTTACCCAAGACTTTTAAAGAGTGCCTTTAAAAAGGTAGTAGAGGGGGCCGGCCCCGTGGCTTAGCAGTTAAGTGCCCGCGCTCCGCTGCTGGCGGCCTGGGTTCGGATCCCGGGCGCGCACCGACACACCGCTTGTCCGGCCGTGCTGAGGCCGCGTCCCACATACAGCAACTAGAAGGATGTGCAACTATGACATAACAACTATCCACTGGGGCTTTGGGGAAAAAAAGAGGAGGAGGATTGGCAATAGATGTTAGCTCAGAGCCGGTCTTCCTCAGCAAAAAGAGGAGGATTAGCACGGATGTTAGCTCAGGGCTGATCTTCCTCACAAAATATATGAATAAATAAAATGAAAAATAAAAATAAAAAGGGAGTAGAGCCAGAGGTTACTCTGTGGTCATCATAGACATAAACAAGGGAAGAAGAAAACGTCAGTTGTCCTAGTGCTATGCTTATGGCTTGGAATGAAGTTTCCAGTGACAGCATCATACACAGTTTCATAAAGTGCTGTATCACGAATAACTTGGAATTGAAGACAGTGTCTTCTGGAAAACTGACGATTCAAGTGCTTCATAGGTGGTGCTGTGTAATTCTTCCTGTATCACATAATGAAGCACTGCATGTCTCATTGTGCCACTTTTAGTGATGCTGAGATTAGTCAGTGGGTTTAGTGGTGTTAGCCTCATCTCTCCTTTATAAAGCTCCCCAGCATCCATTCCTCCTATGGTTTCAGCATCTGTTCATTATTTTTCTGCAGACCAATTATTTCATTAGAGGGTGCCAAGTGGTAATTTTCTAATTCTGTAATTTCTAATTTTCTTATAAGATGAGTTCTATAAAAAACTTTCCCTCCTAAACTATTTGGTTACCTTGAAAAATAGTTCACAGAGGAAAGACAGAATAAATGCTTGATTTTCTCTTTATTAATTTTTTATTCTCTTTTTTTTTGGTGAGGAAGATTGGCCCTGAGCTAACACCAGTTGCCAATCTTCCTCTTTTTGCTTGTGGAAGAGTGGCCCTGAGCTAACATCTGTGCCCATCTTCCTCCATTTTGTATGTGGGACACCGCCACAGCATGGCGTGATGAGCAGTACAGGTTTGTGCCTGGGATCCGAACCTGCAAACCCCGGGCTGCTGAAGTGAAGCGCACCAAACTTAACCACTGTACCACCTGGCTGGCTCCTCTTTATTAATTTTTAAAGTTGGTACCCTAGCACTCTCCAGTGGTGGCTATTTTTAAAGTATCGTTATGAACTCATGGATTTTTAAAATATGTTTGATTTGCCTCAATCCTTGCAATCATTATTCATGTTGATGCTTACATTGGTACATCATAAGCCAGTGAGAATCTCTTCAAACTGGCTCTTGTATTCTTTCCATATAAGTCTAATAATCTTTGATCACTTCTTTGCTCACTGATGCATCTTGCATGTTTCCTATTCCAGATCTGGAATCAGCTATTTCTCTAAGGATCCTGTTCCTTCTGTAAAGATCCTGTTCCTTTTAGAGGCGTATGGTATTTAAGACACAAGCTGGGTGCTTGAGATGCTCCTTGCTATTCTAGTGTCTTTGCTTGTAGTCCTTTCAGCAAGGAAAAGGGATTTTACTTTTCAGAGAAAAAAATCACAAGTTTATATTGATATTCCCAATTGAAATTGGGAATAAACCCTAAGGGTTTTTACTTAACTTTTTTGAATTTATACATATATTTATTTTCTCTTAGTTTTTAATAACATTATCCTAATAACAGTTCTTTTATTCTATAATATACCTACAATAGTTTCAAAATAACAATACCAATATCACTACTAACAATTAGACTACTGAATGCAATTTAAATATTCTTTGTTCTTTTTTTCCCCTTAGGATATATCCTGGTATGGATATATAGTCAAAATTTTGTTTGAAAATCACTTGCAGTAATTCTTTATATTGTGTGACTGTACTGTCAACTTGATATGAAACTAGGTTCATTTGTTTCATTTTGTATTCAGTTTTTAGGATTTTGTTTTTCTTTTTAGTTGTACAAAACATAACATTCCAAAATCAAAACTTACAAAAAACAAGATACATTCACAGAAGTCTCACTTTTAGGGCTGTCCACTTCACCCTGTTTCCTCTTTCCCCCATGGGTAACCACCATTAGTTTTTGGTTTCTCCTAATACTTTTAAAAACTTTAAGCAAAAGTGTATATATAATATTCCACCTCTTCTTGATACTATATTTGCATACTGTAAAAACAGTATTTTGCATCTTGTTTTTAGCTTCCGTCTGTAAACTAGCGATCACTAATGAAATATGTGTTAGATTTTTCAAAAAGTGGCTCTTGCCATGACGAAACACTGATGTCAGAGAAGCACGTATATTCACTAAAAAACCTGTACATGAAGGTTCATGGCAGCTTTATTCATAATAGCCAAAATCTGGAAACAACTCAAATATTCTTCAGCAGGTGAATGGTTAAACAAACTGTGGTACATCCATACCATGGAATACTAAATAATGAAAAGAAACAAACTATTGATACATACAACTTCTTGGATCTTAGGGAGATTATGCTGAGTTTAAAAAGCCAATCTTAAAAGGTTACATAGTGTATGATTCCATTTATGTAGCATTCTTGAAATAACAAATTTGCGGTCGTGTGCCATATAAGGACGTTTCAGTCAACGATGGCCCGCAACGATGGCCCGCATATACGACAGAGGTCTCATAAGATTAGTACCATATAGCCTGGGTGTGTAGTAGGCTATACTATCTAGATTTGTGTAAGGACACTGTGATGTTCGCTCAACGACGAAATCACCTAAGGACGCATTTCTCAGAACATATCCCCATTGTTATGCGACACATGACTGTGTAGAGATGGAGAACAGACTGTTGGTTACCAGAGTCTAGGAAGGGAGAGGAAAGGAGGGAGATGGCTGTGGATATAAAGGGTAACTCGAGAATCCTTGTGATGAAACTGTTCTGTCTCCTAACTGTAGTGGTGGTCACACAAATCTACACATGATAAAATTGCATGGAACTAAATACACACGCACGCACATGCACACACACACACCACTGAATGCATGTAAAACTGGTGAAATTAAATAAGGTCAATGAATTGTATCAAAGTCAATTTACTGGTTGTGATATTGTACTGTAGTTATATTGGAGGATGTTATGTTGAAGGAAACTGAGTGAAAGGTCTTTGGGATCTCTCTGTATTATTTCTTACAGCTGCATATGAATCTACAATTATCTTAAAATAAAAAGTCTTTTAAAAAGTGAAGTTGCTTGATGATATGTGCAAGGAACAAAGTAATTTTTTTAATTTAATATAAAAAATGTGAATTTATGTGTGGTAACCAAAATTAGTGTACTAAATTTTAAGTAGGCATTTGACTATTTCATCTATATCTCTGTATATTTAAATTAGTCCCCAATTTGTTTTTTAATTTACTTATTGGAAAAATGTGGAATTGCCTGATAATAGGGATCATCTTTCCTTTGGGCATATATGGGAAACATTTAGGTTTGAGCTTGGGCGTCTGTTCTTTCAGAACGCAAGGGTAGGTGCCAGCATAGCTCTTTGCTTTGTCTAGTTTTCCCTCCAGCTTGCCTAAAAGCTCTGAGTGCATAAAACATGTCTTTTTTGTTCACTGAAATATTCCCAGGGTTTAGTACAGTGTCTGGAACATAATAGACGCTCAATACGTATTTGGTGATTCAGTGTCATTTTTCCAAGTACTACTCCTGTTTCTTCAAAGGTAGGAAGGAGAAAGGTTATAGGACTTAAAGACATGAAAAATCTAAGTACTAAAATAAGTGAAAATTACTTAGCAGGTAACTAGAAATGATAACATGAAATTAAGAAAAGGAAAAGTTTTCTTAGGATATTAAAATCATCTGTGACTTTAAAATTTTATGAAAGGAGATTCTGGGGAGGAAGTCTTTGTAGACACTCATGATCCCTGATCTCTGTCACCTCCCCATGGAACTGGTAAAAATTCCAAGCATAGATAACACGTGGTGCTGGCAGAGCACATGGGGTTAACTGGCACTCTGAATTGCTACAGCTTCTTAAGTATTTTGAAGATATCTTTTAAATTATGAAAAGGGAACTTTTAGGAATCTGTCCTACAGAAGTGAAAAGCGCTAATATGTACGTATAAGCGTATTTATTGCAGCATTTGTTTGCATTGACAAAAAATGAGAAACAACCTGGATGTCTGCCTATGAGCGGGGGCGAGTTGTATGAATTGTTATACATTGATACCATGGTACATTATGCATCTACTAAAAGGATGATCTAAATATATATTTGTTAACCTGGAAAGATATTCATGATATACTAAGAGAAAAAAGCCAGTTTCACAATATGGTCCTCTTTTTATAAAAATGTAAAGGTGGATGGGAACCTTAAGTATGTATGGGTCTATGTGTGATGTATGTCCCTACAGAAGGTGTCGAATGGGTGCACACCCAGCTTTTAACATTGGTCACCTCAACTAGCAGGGTGGAGGGCAGAGAAGGAAAACCGCTAGCTTTTTCTTTGACTTTCTCTTTGACTTGGTACATGTATTATGTGAAAAGCAAAAAAATTTAAAAGGCCTGTAAAAATTCTTTTCCTTTGAAAAGAAGAAAAAAAAGATGGTGTGAAGTCATGTTGGGCACTATGAAAGGACCAAAAAGGGGTAATTCATGGAGTGGCATTGTTATTTCCCACAGGGAGGGAGTGGGTTAGTTGACTTGCCATGTGCATCTTCCATTTTGTTTTCCTCATTTTCTTTTAATAAAATTTTTGTTTATGTTTTCATCCTTTATGACCATCGTTTTCTTGATTTTCATTATAAAATGTGCTTGAGTTTTTCCATAATAAAGAACATCCTTCTGAGCAACTAGAAGGATGTGCAACTATGACATACAACTATCTACTGGGGCTTTGGGGAAAAAATAAATAAATATGTAAAATTAAAAAAAAAAAAAAAAAAAGAACATCCTTCTGTCTAAATCTTTCCTTCTCTTTCTGATTTATTAATATGATTGTTCAATTTTCTGTAGCTTGAAGATGATATTATTGTCAAACAGAATTACTTTAACACTATAAAAAATTTTGCACTTCAACTTTCTTCTGAGGAATGGATGATACTCGAGTTCTCCCAGCTGGGCTTCATTGGTAAGAAAAGTGTCAGATTTATCTACTTTTCAGAAATAACTGTGACTCTTGGAATCTTAAACTAATTGGTTTTTAAACTTAAATTTGTGTTTTTTCTTTGTACATGGATTGCTGTTGAGGAAATTTAACTTAGGTAAACTTCCATGTATGAAATGGTGCAAGTCAACTCAAAATAGTATTTGGAGACTCTTCTAAGATTGTGATGTTGACTCTAGAGTAGTTCTCCTCTGACTCCTCCAGTTCCTCTCTTATAGCCCAGTGCTTTTGCAAATTGGGGTCATTTTAAAAAGAATGCCACACTAACAGTTTTATAGTATGAATTCGTGGTGTTTCATGTAGTATATGATGTTCTTGTTCAGTGATTAATTTGTATTCATATGTTGCTTTCATTGACTAGTCAGGGTGCTCATTTTAAAAGTTATTTTTCACTAAAATTCCTAAATTATCCTACTAAAGAGAATATGTTTAAAGTTGAAGAATTCAAGGAAATTTACAGGTTTTAAAAAACACCCAGAGGATAACATTTCACTTCCTATGGTACTTTAAAACTTGAACTATTAGAGGCTGGGGGCTTTGACCTTGTTGATCATTTATCTCAAAACTGAAGAGTCAAAAAACATCTTTACTTGTGAAGGTTTCAGTGAAGACAGAATTAGGAGTCCTTGTTTTTTTGCATTTATTGATTTAATTAAAATTTTTTTACCTAAACTTCTTAAGTTTCTTTTTTTATGGGAAGAATCTTAATAAGACATAAAGGAGAAATCTTTGACTTACTTCCTGACTCCTTTGAGCCAGTAGTTGTCTGATAGATTTTGTAATAGAGAAAGTCAGGAGTTCAGTATTTCCATTTATACCCAGGTGACAACTCGGAATGTTTAGCTAATGCAAGTTTGTTTGTTTTTGATAAGACAAGTGGGGAAATTATTCATAGTGATTTATAGTTGAAAGCATAGCTTTTATGTATTTGTTGTATAGATTTCACTTATTTAAGCCATTTTTTTTTAAAGCTGGTGTTGTCCTGATTTAATTGAGGTTAAGAGACAACTTAATAATGGATACTTGATTTTTTTTTTTTAATGAGATTTTTGTGTTTTTTTGGGGGGGGAAGATTGGCCCTGAGCTAACATCTGTTGCCAATCTTCCTCTTTTTCTCTTTTTTTTTCTCCCCAAAGCCCCCAGTACATAGTTGTATATCCTAGTTGTAGGTCCTAGTTCTTCTGTGTGGGACGCCACCTCAGCATGGCTTGATGAGCGGTGAGTAGGTCTGCACCTGGGATCTGAACAGGCGAACCCTGGGCCGCCAAAGCAGAGCGTGCGAACTTAACCACTGCGCCACCAGGCCTGCCCCTATTGAAGCCATTTTGATGCTTGGTTTCTTTATTACAGCTATTGACTGGGAATATCTTTTCAGGTAAAATGTTTCAAGCGCCAGACCTCACTCTGATTGTAGAATTCATATTTATGTTCTATAAGGAGAAACCCATTGATTGGCTCTTGGACCATATTCTCTGGGTGAAAGTCTGCAACCCTGAAAAAGATGCAGTAAGTTAATTTCTTATGAAGGTGGAAGAGGCTTCTTATCTATATTTTGTGAAAATGACTTCTAGGGAGCCAGATTTTATAAATGAACAATTAATAGGTAGCTGAAAGAAAACAATGTTTCCACTTAACATTTCAAGTGCTTGACTTCTTTCTTGAACTGACAAAAGGTTCCTATAGTAGAGAGACTTTTAAATAGCAGAGGAAAATCCTGTAAATCAGTGAAGCTCACTCTTTAAATTGCTGATAAATGTTTATAGTGTCTTCAGGCTCTGGTATTTCGTTCCTGTTGGCTCTAGATGTTGATCATGTCTGTCCTGTATGGGGTGTTGTTTCAGTTTTCTTCATATTCTTCATATTCTCTGTCAGCTTTCTTTTTTCAAATACTTTTTGGGGACAGTATCAGACCCCAACACATCCAGAAATAAGGAATAAAATAGAAGTAATATTTTTTATACTAAAATATGTTTTATACTAAACATGTTTTATACTAAACATACTAATATGTTTTACACTAAAACAATGGCAAGTCAAAAAAGTACCTTTCCCTGTGTTACTTGCAAGAAACCAATGGCCATACTAAAGTGACCTTTGGGATGATGGTGGCAAGTAAGTAGGTAAACGATGATTTTTGCTTTGATTATTCAAATATCAAGTTATTTCCACAGAAATCTTATTATAAAGGTAATTAGATATGTTTTCCTTGTCCAATTAGATATACCTCTGAAAAGAAAAACAAATTTTATTTATTTGGTGTAAGCATAAATAAAATATGAATGTACACATTCTTAAAAGTGAATGTCAATTTTGACGTGTAATAACAAGGAAATATTTATTATAAGCATATGTCATTATAAGGTTGATTTAACATTCATTCTAACAAATAAACATTTAATTTTACTTCATGAATTTATATTCCATAGAATAGTTTGATCATCCTACTTGGCAGTTAGTTTTTAGGACTCTGTCCTCTGGTGTCTGTAAGCTATTGTTGCATTCTCTTTGTTTTTTTTAAAAAATAACCACTTTCATAGAACAAAACATGGAATATAGCAGAATAGCAGAGTATCTACTTTCCAACAATGATTGAACGTATAAATTGATTTGAACAGCTCATTTTTATGATGTAAGCCCTTGCCTGTATTTTCTTTGTGATTTATAAGAATTTTTATTGTAGGACAAAAAAGTTAATGTCATCTTTACGCTCCTACAATATACTTGCATTTAATTGGTCCCGTGCAGTTTTATCTAATATATAGTTTGGTTCTAAAATGGTCCTGTGAGGTGAAAATCTCTAATAGTAAAAATGAAAACCCTTTAAATCATCTATATCTTTCAGTACATAACCCTTTGGACAGTTGTATCTGTTCTTTCACTTTTCCTCAGGCCATGTTTGTCTGTGGCCCATAATTCTTCGGTTGCTTCCACTAGGATGCCGAGGAAGCTGTCACCATAGACTTGCTGGCCTCCGGAACCATATCGCTTTGACAGTGGTCTGGGGAACCCCTCAGAGCATTTGCACATTCTCCCAAAGGCTGTCAACCTACTTTCACTCTTCAGGCCCCAGTGTGTCCATTGCCTGTTGGGTGGTGGGCTCTGTCTCAGTCGCTGTTTGTTCTTTTCTTCTCACCCTCTTTGTCCTCCACTTTGCTCTTCCCCTTTAGTCTCCTTCCCTTCCCTTCCCTCTCCCTCTCCTTCCACTTGACTAGTTGAATTTGTGTAAATAAAATATACCATTTCACCTCTATTCTACTGTTAGTAATAATGTCAATGAAGTAAAACTTCTTGAGAAAAATCAGGCATTTTAACACCCAGTAAATTATTGGAGGTCTTTCAAAGTGGAAATGTCTTATAAATATGTCTTTTTCAATATGTTCTTAGCTCAAAACTTAAAAAAGTCGTTGAAAATGAAGAGAGTTTGTAAAAGCATGGCAGGATAGCCATGACTGTCTTGAAGCACTGCACTAACACACAGCGAGAGCCCTGCTAGTGTTATGGATTTCACACGGTACAATCAAGCGTGAGGACAGGTTGTCGTCTGAAGTCTGGGCCATGAGGCGCTTGGAGTTGAAGCATAGGTGTCCCTTAACTGTGCTGAGATAGATTTGTCTGTGGAATGCTTAATGTCGTTTACTTGCTTGTAATCAAGTTATTGCCTTGCATTTTCAAATTGCTTTCATGCAACAAAATGTGCATTTTAGTATTTACAAATTCTTTATTATATTATCTGATTAAAGATATTTTGTTATTTGAACCAAACTTCTAGTTTATGGTTTGTGCATTTTCATATTAAAAGTCAAATAAATATTGACGTATCTTGAAAGATGGTTGAAATTAAATCCTTAACTCTTCCCTTATATGTGGTTATTTTAAATTTCAACATCGTGTTTCTTTATCAGGTAGGTAGTAAATCTATTAATGCCTCAAAGCAGACCCTAAAAAAACATATGACTTGGAATTATGAGATGAAGTATTTTCTTTTCAGTATTCTTATAAAGGACTTCTCATTTTTCAGATGACAAGATTTTACTTGATAATGTAACACTAATATGATTTCTTTTTTTAATATTTAGAAACATTGTGATAGACAGAAAGCAAATCTGCGAATTCGCTTCAGACCTTCCCTTTTCCAGCATGTTGGTCTGCATTCTTCACTAACAGGAAAAATTCAGAAACTCACGGTTGGTGATTTTATTTTATTTTTCTCATGCACATACAATTTGTTTTTCACTGTATAATCATTGCTCTTCTTCTTAAGTATAAATAAGCTATATGTTATTTAATAGCATATGTGTCTTTCCTCCTAGGATAAAGATTACATGAAACCCTTACTTCTTAAAATCCATGTAAACCCACCTGCAGAAGTTTCTACTTCTTTGAAGGTCTACCAAGGACATACACTGGAGAAAACTTATATGGGCGAGGATTTCTTCTGGGCTATAACCCCGATAGCTGGAGACTACATCTTGTTTAAATTTGATAAGCCAGTCAATGTAGAAAGGTTGGTGACTATTGAAATATATTTGGTCTTACAGTTCAGACCTCTTATTTCATAACGTAATTTATGATGGAATTTTTTTGTGTATAACAGATATAAGGAGACAGTGGGTCCCAAATGTTGGGTTATAAATTACGTTTCCTAAAACTCAGTAATAAAATGAGTATGTTGTTTTCAGATATAATGTCACGTTTAGCATGTTTGATAAATTCTATTGGTATTTCTTAACATATATTTAGTATAGTTTTTTAATGCTTTTATGTAGAACTCTCCCTCAAAATCTCACATTAGTTTTCATGTCCTTATCCTAGAATTGCCCTTAAGATTTGACTGAGAGCTAGTTGATTACCCAGCAATTTGGTTGACATGATAAATTTGACAGACTAGGACTCTTCCTGGTCAGTGGCTTTGCAAACGCTGGATTCTTTTTAGTACACCATGGAGGAATTGACAGTCTTTTTGTGTTTTTCAGCATTTATGTTCGTTTTACAGTATTTAGGACTTTTTCTCCCCATTTTTCATTTAACAGTGATGATTCTTTCAACCTCTCCTGTTTTGGGTGTGTTCCCCAGACTGTCTGTGGCGTACTTAAATGTAATCCCCAGAATAGAATAGAATTTTCTAGCCTGTGGCATATTATGTTATGTGTTCTTGTGTGAGGGCCATTTAGTTTTTAGAATCCGCCAAAAATCATTTGGAATAATTCTATTTAAAATGGTCAAAAACAATGCATAGCTATAATGTGATGTTATTAATTTTCTTTTGTTACTCTTAATTGATTCTAAAGAGGAATTTAAGTGTAAAAATACTTTAAGCAAAGGAACATCACTGGAAAACATAAAAATACTTTTGAGTAATGTTTTGCGTGTTAATGAGTATATAATATTTATTATTTAATTTTCACTTTTATACTATATAGTGATACTCTGCACTTTGAAGTGTTGTTTACCACACTTAAAGAATCATCAGAGAAATAGAAACGATAGTTTTCTTTCACATCATAAACAAGAATAGCCTTAAACCATGTTTGTTGGTTTATTTTTAGTAAATGAAAATAATTCCATCAAAGAATCTGCTAAAGAACTCATATATTGGAGATAAAATTTCTTAACAACAAATACATTTACAATACACTTCTGTAAAGTAATATTTACATGCCCCTACTGAGGGCACATTTCTAGTAAAACACAGTTCTTCTAAAACCATAGTATATGTGAATTTTCTTAGAGTTCATGGCTAGACCCACCCTTCCTAGGACAGAGAAAAGGAATCACTTTTGGATTTCCATAATAACTTATTTGCTGAGAGGGGAAAATGGAGAAGTTGCATTTATCAATACAGAAATGAAGTGTTAGGAAATATTTTCTGACTCTGTAACATGATGTGTGTTCATTATGCAAAAATTTTAAAAGTACGAAGAATGAGGGAAAAAATGACAACTCCAAAGACACCATTTTATTGGCACGTTTTTTTCTTGGTAATTCTGTGCACTTTCTACTTTGAGATCATGGTCTATAATTTTATATCTTATGTTTTCCATTATGCTCTATCATAAATGATTCATAAACATTTTAATGGCTGCACAGTATCCCATTGCATGGCTCTACCATCATTTACTTCTTCTAATGTTAAACTTTTTAGGTGGTATTGAGTTTTTCACTAGAGGAATCACATGGTGAACACCTCTGAATCAATCTGTCTAAACCCCAGATTATATCATAATGTGGGCTCTTTTCTTAAAAGTGGCTTCCCCCATCCCATGTTTTTGCATCTGTAGCTGAGATATTGAATAGGCCATGGTAATATGAAGCAGCATTCCAAGTCAAAGAAGCCTTAAAAAAAAAAAAAGGGTGTCTCTCATCTGAAAATGCTGGAAGTAATTTTTGGCGTATCTTAGAAGGAGCTTCTTATTAGGGTCCCCTGACCTGTGTAACATTTAAAAACCAATTCTTTATCACAGGTGATTTTTTTCCCACAAGTACCATCCTATAACTGTATCATAACCATACTGTAACTATTACTTGCTAAGTATTTTTGATATGCAAGGTACTTTTTGTGAGTTCTCATAAACTCCTTTGTTCAGGCACATGAGGTAAGTGGAAACATCTACATTGTATAGAGGAACCTCAGGCTCAGAAAGCTCATGTGACTTGCTAATGGTGAAAATTCTAATAAATGAGAGGCACGGGATTTGGATCCAGGTCTTTCTGACTCTTAAGCATAAACTTTTAACCATTTAACTTATGTAAAACTTAAGGTTTAAATTTAGATATACTTTGTATGCTGTACACATCTAGTCTCCACCCTCCCCCACACAATTTCCACACTAGTTTTCAGAGTATCAAAGCATGAGACCATTATACTCATACCCAGAGAGTATTTTAGATTTATCACAGTATATCATGTAATCAGTCATAATTCAAATATTTGTTAATATTGACAAATGGAATTGTTCAGATATTTTGAATCAGTTAATTTAGTTTCAGTCTTCTAATACTAAAATTATTTGTATTGGAGAAAACTAGTCTTTGAACTTGCCATGACTCATGGCTGTCCTGGTGAAAATTTTCTCTGATGCAAGATACAGTAGTAATATATAGCTGCCACAATTTTGATTGTTCCTGTCAAGAGGATCATATATTTAAAGGAGTGTAAACAGCAACATAAAACTCATCATTTTTTTTATATGTTAAGTGTGTTATTATATTAAGCAGCAAACATGCCCCTTCTGACAGCAAGAATTAACACGTCACCTAAGGGCTGCACCCCTAAGTTTTTAAATTCCTACAAACTGCTCAGAACACATAATGTGCAGTTACTACAAGTTCTTGTGTTGTCAACTTTGTGGTTAGAGTCTTGTTTAGAAAGCTTACCCTGAGCCAGGGCCATCTTCCTGAACCTTTGTGAAGTCTAGTCTGACTAATATTTTTATTTTTATATCTGTCTTTTCAGTTATTTGTTCCATAGTGGCAACCAAGAACATCCAGGAGATATTCTGCTAAACACAACTGTGGAAGTTTTGCCTTTTAAGGTATGACTATTTTTTCCCCTTACTTTTCCTTAAGAACTAGTGCCAACAGACTTGATTTGAGGCTGTTCTTGTTTATGAGGTGAAAGAAAATTCTCATGATTGCAGGAACACAGTGGTGAGTAATATTAATTTTTTTTGAAATATGGAACACCTAGTATCTTGTCCCATTTGCCTTATTCATACAAAGAGCCTTCATTTTGTTTCCTATTGGAAAGTAACTTGGAAATTTTACTAGGAAAATAAATGAATCATTATTTTACTTTAATGTTTACCTGCTGTTTGTCTTTTGAGTCCCCAAATACAATGTATTTTTGTGTGTGTGTGTGTGTGTGTGTGTGTGTGTGTGTGTGTGTGTGAGGAAGATCAGCCCTATGCTAACATCTGCCAGTCCTCCTCTTTTTTTTGCTGAGGAAGACTGGCCCTGGGCTAACATCCATGCCCGTCTTCCTGCACTTTATATGGGACGCCGCCACAACACGGCTTGCCAGGCAGTGTGTCGGTGCGCGCCCGGGATCTGAACCGGCGAACCCCGGGCTGCCGCAGCGGAGCAAGCGCACTTAACCGCTTGCACCACCAGGCCAGCCCCAAGACCATGTATTTTTAATGCCTGTTGATTAATACACAAAATTAATTTATTGGTCTCTAAGGAATGCTTAGATTTCTTTCAAGTTAACACACAGTTCTTTACTTCTGTATATTTTTAATAGAAAATAGTGTTCTATTAAATTGATTTAAATTTAAAATTAATTAAAATTTAAATTTTCTACCCACCAATATATTATATACAGATTCAGATGATAGTTAAAAAAGAACACTTGTGTTGATAAGCCTTTAAGGTTCAAGACTGAGATGACATTTTCTCTTTTTAAAGATAGCTGTGCCACAAATATCACTTTTATATTTATCGAATATGTTAATAACTTAGCTTTGTTTTAAATGGAAGTAATTATTTTTAAAATTAATTGTTTTGTTCTGTTTTAGAGTGAAGGTTTGGAAATAAGCAAAGAAACCAAAGACAAACGATTAGAAGATGGTTATTTCAGAATAGGTAATACCTACTTTAAACCAGTAAAATGTCTTTTACTTTTCTGGACTTACTCCTAAAGTAGTTTTAAATTCTTTCAGATGTTAAGTAGCTTTAGGATTACAGTTACCAATATACTGCAAGTTTTATTTGTTCTCGTGTTTTAGTACATACTTTTATTGTCTTGACCCAACTAGGATTTCAGATTAAAGGTTTATTTACTGATTCCTCTTTCTTTCTCCATCTGCCATTTCATTGTTGATATTCACTGAGATAATCTGCCTTCAGCTGCCTTTTGCTGTCTCTTACTGGGTGCCTTTAGCTGTTCCCCTGCTCTCAGCAACATCCATATGCAGAATCTGTGCCTTTAGCCCCTCCCTCCGTCCTGAGCTTGAGATCTGTAATGTGAGGCCACGGCCATAGCCACCTGGAGGCCACATAGTCATCTACTCTGAGCATCTGTAATATAGACCTTTGTTTTTGGTCACCACAGTTGTTGCTGTCACTGTTCATCTAGTTGGCTAAGCCTAACCTTGGGAGACACCCTGAACACCCCCACATTACTGTCCATTAGCATAAAATATGTCTGTTGTATGTGACTGTACAGTCACCCTATCTGCCACTGTGCTATAGGCCCCTGCCTCTTCCGAGCCAAAGAAGGACTGTTCTACGTGTGTCCTCTCATTGGCTTTCCACAAAGCACTGCACTACGTTTCTACAACGCAGATGTTACAATGATATTAACCTGGGTAAAAGCCTTAGTGACTTTCCGTTATCAGATTCCTTAGCTCCCGCCCCCTTTCACATCTTGTAACTTTCCTCTTATTCTTTATTTCTCCAGTCCTAAGACTGTTATTCCTCTCGTGCCCCGTGCTCTTAGTACAGCCAGGTCTCTGGCCATTTTCTCCACCTGAAATGATTGATTGATATTTCTCCTCCTAATGAATGCTTTCTCATCCTGTATTAACCAGTTTACTTACCCCTCTTCTCTGCTCTTCCTCTCACATCGTGTATACCTTTGGTGCATAATTATATGGTTTCATAGCTCAGTTTTGTGTTCTCACCATAAAAGAGGAGGGGTGTCGTCTCCATGTGTCTCCTGCAGTTAACATAGGGCCTGTCACTTGATGGGTATCAACTCAGTGAATGATTATATATTTTCCTTTACTTAAAACAAATTAATGCTTTTCTTAGTGGTAGGCAAAAGAGAATATTGGTAAATTAATATCATAGGTATACAGGACAGATACATTCTTATAATTCTCTCTAGAGCAGTTTTACATTTGGTGAGTGCCATTCAGTTTTTGCTACAAGGCTTGTACAATAACCCTGACTAATTTCTATGTAGTTGTGGTGGATAGATGAGTTTAATTATTTTCATATTTGGGTTATATCTTAGCTCACCTCTAGAAATGTACGTAAAATTAGCCGAGTTTACAAGACATTTATTAACCTGTCAATTACTGAATTTCTGAGAATGTTGTGTTCTAGATTATGAAAGTAGCGTAGGAAATAGAGACATCTATATCTGCAGTAATTTGAAGATAATGACCATCTAAAACATCAACTCATATGTATTTAGAACCAGAAGAGAACTTATGGATCGTCAAACTTAGGACCTTGTGTAACAAAAGCGTGCAACAGAAACAAAGAGCAACTGAATAGAAAATATTCTGCTCACTTAAGAAGTACGCTTTAGTGGAATGGTGTATGAGGGGCTTCACGGACCTTCTCCCTAGCAAAAAAACCATAACTGATGAAAATTATTTTTAAAAAAATACAGCAAATGGAGAAACATTTACTCATGAAAATGTAAATCTCAGTAAGAACATTAAGAGTCTGTGGCATTTGAGCCTTGACCTGCTCCATTGCTCACACTGTCCAAGCTCAGTGAGATGGAAGCTCGACTCTCTGTAGGTGCAGCCAGGAATGCTGGACTCCCTCTGCCGCCAGCTCTCCCTCTAGGGCTGTGCTGTCTCACTGGGAAGGGCAGGTTGCCCGCATCTGTCATCATCCCCAGCTCCATGTTCCAGATAAGAGCAGCTAACAGATCTGAGGCTCCCTTCTTCCACCTAACCTCCATTCGTAGGGTGGAAGCTCCACCCCCAGACGTGGCAGGGTGAGAATACTTGGCCCTGATCCTCCCTCACTCCAGCTCACTTGCCCGAGCACACTGGGAGAGGTAAGCCCAGAAAACACAGGGCTACTGCTGCACCCAGTGCTCTGCTCATAAAGCGGGGGTGTCACTCCAAGGGAAGTGGGCTACAGTCCCTGCCAAAGATCCTGAGCAGTGGTGCAGAGATTGTATCCAGGGGAGAGGCAGGCCATAAGAACAGAGAGCGCTGTAGCTCTCCCTAAGGGGACTGACTTATTAGAGACAGAGCTTGGGAAAGTTCAAGCCTAAGGGCTCTGTAGAGTACAATGGAGATTTTGGTGTAAGCACTTAAGAGGAGGCTAGTAACTACATTCAAGCTAAACTGTAGCCCATCTGGAAGTTTGACAGAACCAGAGAAAGAGACAGCTAATAAGAGCCCTCTTGTGTGGAAATAAGCCACAAAGACTGGCCCTGCAAAGGGGCCGGAATTTAATTGGATCAGACTTGTGCAGCAGTTTATGCCCAAAAATGTTGTCGAAAACAATAGACAGTCAGCTGTCAATTAGTGGAGACCCGATGCTCAAAGGTGGGGTAGGTTAGATGAGTGTGGCATGATAGCTAAGGACAGTCTTGTGAAAAAAATCCTAGTTTTATTAGTAGGTTAAAGTTCTGAGAAAGCAGAAGAGCCTTTCACAGAGAAACACAGGAAGAAGGAGTGGACCACTGTGAGGGTGTGGCAGGACCTTGGAAGTCCTCTCAATGCCAGGATTTGGAGATTCTAGTCACTCTTTAGGAATTTCCTCCTTCATTTTTCCCTCCTTTCCTGTCTTTTAATGCTTATCTACCAGAACAGTCAGTTAAGGACAAAAGTTAAATTTGTTGTTTGGAAAGATAGTGAGTGCACATGGTAGCAAATATAAGTTTAAAAGGGTAAACTTAAGTCTCCTTCCTTCTTCTTTCGCCTCCTACCCAGTGCTTCCCAGAGGCAATTCCTATAATGATTTGTGTCCTTCCAAAAGTATTCTAGTCACAAATAAAAATATATGAGTTTATTCCTTAAAAACACACAATCACACACAAATGATAACATACTCTACACTCTTGTTCTGCATCTTTTTTTTTCAATGAACAAAATACATATGTACATGTGGAAGATGTACATTTGAAAAAATGTTAAGTATTTCTCAGATGCAAAAAGATACAAATAATAATATAATGACTATTTGTGTTTCAACTTAAGACCTGCCAATTTGGTCGTTCTTCCCTAATATCTTCTTTTCCCCTTCCACCCAAGGGTAACTACTATCCTAAATTTTGTGGTTACCATTTCCATGTACACCTTTACTACATATGTGTAATATATCGCTGAACATGCAGTGTTATTTTGCTTGTTGTAAAATGTGATATAAATGATACCATTCTGTAGTCTACAGTTTGTTTTTTTCTCTCACCTTTGTGAGATTCATCCATGTGGATGCGTGTATCTGTGGCTCATTCATTTTCACTGCTGTGTAGATTTCCATGGATGAATATATCAGTATCTCTTCTCCTGTTTGGGCATAAAATTTGTTTCCGTCTTTTTGCTGTTATAAACAGCGGTGACCTGAACACTTATGCACACATATGAGAGTTTCTCTACAATATATACTTATGAATGGAAGTAAGTCTTCAATTGCATTATCTTCAACTTTACTTCATTCTTTTTGTTCCTTCTCCATTCTTTTAATTGGCTGCCTAGTAATCCCTTGTATTAGCATTTCATAATTCAACTAGCCAGTCTCCTCGTGATGGATACCTAGGTTGTTTGCAGTTTTTGCTGCAATATATATATTCTTTTTGCACACATGAGGCTATATCTGCAGGCTAAAATTGTGGGTCAAAGTGTTTTAATGAAACCAGTTATATCATTTTGTAATTATTTTTCTAATTAAATGAGCTCATCAGGTGACAGTATCAGATATCTCATTAGGTAAAATGTTTCAAGTTTCACAGTATTTTTCAGCCCTGAATCCCCTGCCTAACTCAATATTCAGTAATATTTTTTTGTAGCATGTACTCCCTTTCCCAGTCCAGCCCCAAGTATGGACATACTTTTATGAAATAGGTTTCTTAATAATTTTTGAATAAAAACATTACTTTGGAAGTTCATAAGTTTAATATTTCCTATACAAATGAATATAAGCCTTCTCTGATATGGTTTTCAATTTGAATGTATCTTACCTTACTATAGGATATATACTAATCAATATATTGTAAGACTAGAATAGACTGCATAAGTTAGCAGCACAAGGGTCTGCAAACTACAGCCCATGAGCCAAATCTGGCCCATTGCCTGTTTTTGAATGGACTGTGAGCTAAGAATATTTTAAAATTTTTTTTCATTTTTTATTTTCACTTTTAAATGGTTGAAAAAGTGAAAAGAAGAAGAATATATTGTGACATGTAAAAATTATAAAAAATTCAAATTTCAGTGTCCATAAATAAAGTTTTATTGGAACACAGTCATGCTCATTTGTTTATGTATTGTCTGTGTGCTTTTATGCTACAATAGCAGAGATGAGTGAGTAGTTGCAGTATAAATTGAGGTGGTGCTCTCATTGCTTCGAATTGGTGCTCCATGCGCTACACATAGCAGTGATCCATTTATAATTGGACAGCATTTCAAGTGCCACACACATCACCATCATGTAACATTTAAAAAAAAATTACCATTGCTTACCCATCATATCAAAATAAGAAAAGTAAGGTGGACTTTGAATGTCATACTTTTTAACACGATGGAAATTGGATTATTTTACACAATTTGATGGCCGATCATCGTGGTTATTATGCAGTGATGCCTCAGTAGCTGTGCTAAAGCACTCATAACAATATTCCCAACTCACAGGAAAGCAGTGGTCAGAAAAATTAGAAAATTTAAAATAGAATATCTCATCACAGCAGAATTTCTTCACAAAAATAAAAAATTCAACTGAGGCCGTAACCAAAGTGAGTTTCCAAGTGGCTCATGTGTTAGCCAAGCAAGTAAAATCATTTACCAATAGTGAGTTAATTAAATCATGTTTGATTGCAGCAGCCAAAGGTGTGTTTGCAGAGAAAATAAACTTACTTAAGACCATTAGGCTTTCAGTAACCACAGTTGCTTGAAGAGTTGAGGACGTTGGGAACAATATTAATAAGCAAAAAAGTAAAGCAAATTATTTGAGTAGTTTTCCTTGGCTCTTGATGAGTTGACAGATGTTACTGATACTGCTCAGTTGTTATTTGGAGTCAATGCCAAGTCTAACGTGACTGAAGAATTGACCTCTGTGAATAGTCTGCAGAACAAGTACAGACAGTGTTTTCAAACAAGTTGAGAAAACACAAATGTAGTACAACCTGAAGTGGAATCTGCTGAGATGTGTTATAGTGAATGGTGATAAAAATATATGTGGAGGAGAAGGCTTAGTTGGGTAAATTTACAAAGCTTGTGAAAATGTAAGGTGTTTAAAGCCTGCAGTTATTTATGTTATTATTCCTCAGCAGGTGCTTTACAGAAAACATTTGAATCTGTCATGTATCATTATTTTATTGAACCAGTAGTGTCAACAGGGAACTTGATTCACTCTCATAGACTTCACCATCGTCAGTTCTGTGAATTTTTGTCAGAAATAGGAACTGAATATCCTGACTTGCCCTACCACACAGCAGTTCTGGGGCTTAGCAGTGCTAAAATTTCGTTGTATTTTTTTTGTTGAGCTCAGGAACAAAATTGAAATTTTTCCAAGTGAGAACTATCCTCAACCACTATTATCTCTTTGAAAATTAGTTTTTGCTGCAGACTTGATAATGTTTCTTAATGAATTCAACCTAAAATTACAAGACAAAACAATGTTTATATGTAAGACTTATATTGCAGTCAAGTCACTTTGATGACATTATTTGAACTACAAGTAATATCAAGCTGATTGAGGAGCCTCTACCTAACCTTTGATTGAAAGTGATGTATCTGCAATGTAATGATCACTATAAGGCAAATATCAATGGGAAGAATCTAATAGAATTCCATAAATACCTTCCAAGTGATGAATATGCTCCATTAAAATTATGTTTGTGGATTGATACCAATGTTAGGCAGTGTGTAGGCAGTGTGAAAGGAAATATTCAAGATAAAATATGTAAAATATCATTATAGATCCACATTAACAAATGAATATTTGCAATTGATTTTGATGATAAGGAATACTGACTTTGAATCCCAGTTAATTGAAATGTTATCCTCAAAAAAGGAAGTACATTCTCTTTAGTACACTTGTATTAGCAAAAAAAAAAAAAGTACTCAGTTATTGTTATTACAGTTTGAATTTCATCAAAAAAAATTTTGTGGAAATTTGTTTTCTCTCTTTCTATATATAAGTACCTACGTGGTATCTTCAATTTTCCTTTTGGCCCTCAAAGCCCAAAATATTTAATGTCTGCCCTTTATACAAAAAGTTTTCTAATCCCTGGCTTAGAGAAGTATGGCTCAGAACAAACCATTTTCCTGTCACTTTTTCAACAGCTTTTTGTTTTGTTTTAAGAGTAATAGCCCTCACAGCAAGAAAAACTGGGTACAGAGCATGTTACCTTTTAGAAGGTCTTGGTCATGATCCTTACAGAAGAGCATTTTTAGCCTGTCATTTATAATGGAGTTTTACGTTGGAACTGCCTAGAGGAGGTTTCACGTCTCAGTTCCTTCTAGATGTGGCCTTGGAAAGAATACACATAGGCTGAGACCCTGCTGAAGGCCAACGTTGTATGTATGTCTGGTTAAAGCATTGAAATTTTTTAGTATTGCCTTAACACTCAAAGTGGTCAGACTGAGTGATGGTACAGAGTATATTTTGGTAAGGTTTGGGTAAGTTACATTTTGCTAAAAACCTCTATGTTAAAACATTGATGCAAGAACAAATATATTTTTGCTTTTTTTTTAAATGTGCAATAATGAAAAGTTTAGCTCTGCCTCTTTAAATGGGTTGCTTCTAATGCTTTTAGAAGCATTAAAAATTAAAAGTTGAATGAAAGTAGAAAGAAGGAAAAAAATTCACCCGTGCCCTGTCTAAAGATCTCCCCTAGAAATATTTTGGTGTTTTCCTTTCCTGCTTTGTCGGTGATATTTTATGTGTGCTGTGTCAGTCTACCCAACAAGTGTTGATTTTTATTTTGAAGGAAAATTTGAGAATGGTGTTGCAGAAGGAATGGTGGATCCCAATCTAAACCCCATTGCAGCCTTTCGACTTACAGTTATTCAGAATTCTGCTGTTTGGGCCATTCTTAATGAGGTAAGACAATATATTAAATCAGTGAAACACCTTAGATCTACCTCTACCTTTTTTACAACATTTTGATTTCATATGTAAGGCCTTTCTGGAATTGAAAATTAATTGCCTTATCATGTTCTTCACTATTTTGTGTTTCAGATTCATATTAAAAAAGCCACCAACTGATCATCTCCTAAGAAACCAGTACACTTTTTTCCTGTGAATTTGTTAATTAAAGATAGTTAAGCATGTACCTTTTTTTTTTTTTTACTTGAACACTACCTCTTGTGAAATCTACTGTAGATAAGTTGATTGTCATTTCCACTCGGAAAGTGAATCTCCCGTGGATAATTGTGTTCATTTGAACCTAAGCTGTCCTCCAATTTTAACTTGACTCAAACATTTTACGGTTATGACAGCCTGTTAATATGACTTGTACTATTTTGGTATTATACTAATACATAAGAGTTGTACATATTGTTACATTCCTTAAATTTGAGAAAAATTAATGTTAAATACATTTTATGAAGGGGGTACTTTTGAAGTTCATTTATTTTATGATTATAGACCCTCTTTTATAGATTATCAGGGATTATATATATATAAATATATAAATATACATAAAAATGTTATGGAGTTAATTTATTAGAAACACTTAAGAAGTACATATTTTTGTGTAGTAAATTTTTGAATCAATACTTTTTTTGAAAACCAGTTACCTTGCTTTTTTAAGTTCTTTCTATATTTTTCTTTGGAAATGCAAACATTACAAATGAATGCCATTTTTCAAATGCACTGCCATTTAAGAATGATTCTAGATTGATTTCCTAACTGAAGTACTTTTATAATCACAGTGATTGTGAACAAAATATTTTCAAAGGCATTTGCCATTCCTTAAAGCCAAGATTTTAAAGACCAATGTCCTTCTTGAGGGTTATTTTACTATACTGTGTATGGTGTGTAGCCAAAAAAATGTCTGATAAATTTTAATGTGCAGGGGTGATGCTTTCAACCCAAATTATCATAGACTCAGCTCATTACATTTCCTCTGCTATGTATGGTGACAGACTCTTCTTTCCTAATCTTGATCTTTAGTTGATGAGATAGATACATTATTTCTTTTCTTGTTGATTCTTTTATGTCTGCACTCATTGTCTGAGTTGTGACAAAATGTTTTCTAGGTAGTGCTATTGTATGAGTCATAATTCGTTTAATTTTAAAGAAAAACAAAATTGTGATACTGGTTTTTGTTGAAAGGTATTGTAGCAGTTGTATGTTTTTCCACAATGATTTATTCTATTGCATTTATGAACTTACAAGTAAATTTGTATCCGAAAAGAGTAATTATTACTCTTAAACATGCAATTCCGTATGATATTACTACTATAAACAAAAATATTATCAGCCTTAGCAATCAGTGATCTTTGCAAAAGTATTTTACTTCTAAAAAATTATGTGTTATCAGCCTCAATTCCCAACCAATCTGGTGCGCACTCGGTGGGTTGCAGGTGGCTTATGTACGCTTGGAGAGTGATCCTGTGAGCTTTCAGAGTAGCCAATGGTGAGGCCTTGGGCGGCTGGAGATTCTAGCTGGCTGCCTTTAGCCTGGAGGGGCTTCCCCTGGATGCCCAGGATGCTGAACAAAGAGCTTCCAAACAGCATTGTTTTCTGTGCAGTGTTATGAAGTGGAAAGATCGGGAAATACTGATAGGGTACAGTTATTTCCATTACTCCATATTGGAATAATGTTTAGTTGCTTTTCTTGATCAGAAAGTTAGATGTTTCCAATAATGATTTTTATGTTAAAGTCCAGTTAAAATTTTTTATTGGGGTTTTTTAATTTGCTTTTAATTTTCTTTAATTTACTTTTTATTTTCTTCTCAAATTTCCTTGACCCAGTGCCTACAGCCACATTTCATTTGAAAAGAGTAACCTTCCATTATAAAATTTTGGCACCAGCTTAACATACTAAATTACTGTTATAACAACTAAGTATCAGGAGGTAAAAATCTGGAGGTGGGTTTAGAAGTCCCCTGTCTCCCTGCTTCCTGAGTAGCCAACTCTGATTGCAGGAAGAAAGGCCATGCTCTGAAAGTCTAGGGAGGTGACAGTCACTGCAGCTCCGTGCCTTTTGTTGGGCCTCTCCGTCTTTAGACTGAGCCTTATCTAGCCAGCTTTTTCCTGTGTTCATGCTCAGTCTCCCCTCCCAGGCCTAGCTCATCCCTCCTGTTCTTGAGAATACTTTTAGCCAAATCTTATCCATCTTTCAAGGACTCTCTTGTGCACTCCTCCCCATGAATTTGTTACCAGTGCCTAGTAGTGCCTAGAATAGTGCCTGGCACATGGCAGGTGCCCAGTCTGCGTCTGGACAAGGGGACCAACTGTTCCAGCCCACACGCCTCTTTTTTTTTCTTAACCCCCTTTACCTGCTGCCCTTGCCACACACTTACATACACACTCAGCTATCTAGTTTTTGATTGTGAAGAGTGTGCGTGTGCACGTGTGTGTGCGCGTTCTCTCTCTGACCAAACTTCACACTCCGGAGGGAAAGCCTGTAGCTCATACTTCTTATCTGCCCTCCGCTGCAGCAGGTGCTCCTACACTCGCATTGTTAGCTGCTCTCTCCTTCCCCCAGTCCTACACTAGACCATTAGAAGCAGCCGTGCTTTCCTCAAGCAGGAGATTATAGTGGTGGCCCTTAAGAGTAGTGTTAGGGAGTGAAGTATTGAAAGAGAGAAATTAGAGGAGGTGATGAGTACCTGGAACTGAGAGAAAGTAAATACTTGACCTTGAGAGCACAGTCAACCACTTCTACCAAAAGAGTGAGTGGGAAAAAGTGTCAAATGGTGGGACTAATTATTTATTTACACACATACACACATATATATACGTATGGCAGGGTTTAGCCATACGTATTTTACATGAACTGTTTAGACTTTAGAGCTGTGCTGTCCTATACAGTAGCCACTAGACACACACACTCCTCAGCCACACTAACTACAGTTCAAGTGCTCAATAGCCACATGTGGCTAGTGGCTGCTGGATTGGACAGCACAGATACGGAACATTTCCCTCATTGCAGAAAGTTCTCTTGGACAGTACTGTGTCAAGAGTGCTAATGTGAACATTTTAGAAACCAGGATAATTAATTCTGATTATGCAATTAAAAGCAGACATGCAGAATATATCATAATGCAAATGATGAAAAGTATTTTGGGTGAGAAGAAAAAGTTGAGGACCTATTTCTAGGATTCTAAGATCAAGATTTCTAAGTTCTTTGTTAGAAGTCTCATGCGTGGGGGCGGCCTGGTGGCGCAAGCCGTTAAGTGTGCGCGCTCCGCTGCAGCAGCCCGGGGTTCGCCAGTTAGGATCCCCGGCGTGCACCGATGCACCCCTTGGTAAGCCATGCTGTGGCGGCGTCCCACATACAGTGGAGGAAGATGGGCACGGATGTTAGCCCAGGGCCAGTCTTCCTCAGCAAAAAGAGGAGGATTGGCAGATGTTAGCCCAGGGCTGATCTTCCTCACAAAAAAAAAAAAAAAAAGAAGAAGTCTCATGCATTCTTTACAGCATGCACTGTACCATACTATGTAGTCAAAAAAGAGCAACAATTTGAGGTAGTGTGACTGAAGAGCTTTGGAAAAAGTGAATGAAAATGGATTATTTATCACACAGGCTATAGACACATGTGTATAGTAATTCAACCATTGGAAATGTCTTTGAACAAATGTATAGATTTCAAATCAGTGGTTGTACCAGTAAATAATTAGAAAGTGTTGTTATTGTAAGAACCTTCAGTAATGTTCTGAAGGCTTCTTTTAAATCTGTCATAATGGTGAAAAAGGTTGTCTCCCAGCAATGCTGTCCTCAAAAACAAGTTTTGTTATATGGAAACAGCATGTTTGGAGAGATTGCTCTAATTAAAAGCAGTGTATATTTGTAGTAGCCAGAATTCTACAAATGACCACCAATTGTAACCGAACTCAGTGGGTTTGTCTCTTGGTGAGTGGGGAGCCGAAAAGCACAGCCAAGGCTGAAGTGGGTGAAGAAAAAGGTTTATTGCTTGCACAAGCGATGGAGAACACTCGGGAGAGCTCCCAGAGCAGTGTCATCCCCTGCCCCGCCTAGTGCCAGTGGAGACTTTATACACAAGAGTGTGGAGGATATGTTACACTGTGTAACAACTGGGCTCCGTCAGGGCGCATGTGCAGGCTGTTACATAAGGAGTTCAGTGTAACATGCCATTACATAATGAGTTTGAGGAACGTGTCATTACATAACGGGTCCATGGGAACCTGGACAACTGGAGCTGGAGCAACCTGCAGGGGTCTTGCTGCAACCGTGTAAATTTCACTGTAAGAAAGCAACATCTGCAGAATGGGGACATCAGCCTCTGAAAACAGCACATTTAGTTTTCTCCTTGTCTGGAAAACATTTGACAGACCATGTTGGTTATTGATCAGATCCTTAGTAACTCTTTCCTTGCCTGGTTCTTGGTCACAAATTCCCCCTGAGATATTTTACTCCTCCTTCTTGAGGGATAGAGGACAGCATTCAGTCTTCCGTAACTGCTTCCTGCTGATTGGGGTCATTGTCAGGGGAGTTAGAGGTGTAAAACTCTCGTGCTGCCAGGCTAAGATAAGTTTCAGGGCTATCTGAGGAGTTCTGCAACGGTTGGTACTGTCGCAGAACCATCACTTGTAACTTGAATTGTTCCAACCAAGAACTAACAAATCTAACTAGCATATTAAAGATGTGTGGGCCAAAAATTAATAGTAACAGAAGCACAAGGGGGCCTATCACAGGCAAGAACCAGTTTGCAGAGGGAATGGCCTTTTTCACAGTGTCCCATATCTTGGTGGCTGTACTACCTTTCTGATTAAAGGTGTGTAGCCATGTAGCTTGGTCAAATATTTGCTTAATATTCACCTCAACTTCCCCTGAAGTATTTACCCATGTACAGCATAAAATATTAGTCACTGCACATACACCTCCTTGTTCAGTCAGTAGGTAATCTAAGGCCATTCTGCTATCCAGCACCATGTTGGCTAGTGAATCTAAGGATACTCGTAAGTTGTGGAGTGCTTTTCCTGTATTACTGGCCAGTATTTCAAGAGATTGAGTTAGGTTCCTTAGGATCACTTTGTGGTATGGGAATCCTCTCCAGGGAACAGCCAGTCCCACTGTTAATCCAGTTCCTGCCAGGATCAATCCCATAGCCCTTTTCTTTCTGGGATGGTATTGGATGTGATC